CAGCAACGAAAGAAGCGAAACAACAACGATTGGCTTCGAGAGGCACATGGTCGAGATGACGGTGCAGCGGTGCTTCGACACGGCCCTGATCCCCATCTGGGACATGGTCAACCACGACAACGGCAGGATCAACACGGAGAACGACACGATGCACGCCCCCGGCGGCCTGGCGGTCCGGGCGGCCMRGGGCCTAGCCGGCGGCGAGGAGCTCTTTGCCACCTACGACGGCTGCGTCGACTGCTTCGGCRTCGACGAGTACTGGGGGACGCCGGAAATCCTCAAGGACTTTGGCTTTGTCGAGAACTACCCCCACCGGTGGGTCTTTGTCGACCAAGACATCTGGTTCGAAATCTGGGAGGCGGAAGAGGGCAAGGTGGTCTACTACGGCGAGGAGGAGAGCSACGACGAGGTCCTGCCGTACGGGCAGGAACAGATGGACTTTCTCGAGAACGAGAGGATGCGGCTAGAGGCCGCTCGCAAAACCCTGCTGCAGACCCAGGGGGCCGTTCCGGACCACGAGTGGGAGGTCGTCCTCCGGTACCACGCGGCGGCTTCCGAGGACCTTCGCAYGGTCCTGCTGTCTCAGAAAAACAAATACGAGAGGTGGGGTTTGGCAAGAGAGCTCTAGGCATTCGATAAAAAAATACTAGGATCCACGGCAACCACACGGCATTATTTCTTTTACGGTTTTGTGTTCTGTTGTGTTTTGTTCTGCGAATCGTTTCCCCATCTGTACCGGTTGGATTCGAACAATGGTTCCTACTGCAGTAGTGTTCTTTCGACCAAACCCATTCCCTTCTTTTCCGTCAACCGTTCCGATTCTCATTCGTTACTTTCCCATTTGATTCGATTCGATTCGTTTCGTTGCCCAAAGCGTTGGATTGGTTGGGGCGGGGACGTCTTGGCCCGCTTTGAGGGTTCCCCGTGGCTGGCCGGAGGCGTCGTCGGATCGTCGCTGCCGATGGCTTCCTCCCCGCCGCTGCTTCGCCGCTTCCCCCCCCTGGAATGGCAATGAGCCCCGGTGTGCGCCGGCAACGGCACGTTGTCGCTCTCGCTCCCGTTGGCGGCCCTCGCAGCTGCCCCATCGGCGTCTTCCTCCAACAGCGCCAGCATCCGTTCGCGATTCTCGGAAAGCTTGCGGAGGGTCGACTCCCACTCACCCGTGGTGGTCGAACACCCGTGGTGGTCTCCGGAATGGGACTTCGCTGAAGCGTCAGCCGGGGACAAACGGCTGCGACCGGAACCGCAGGCAGGCTCCCCGGAATTAGCAACCACTGCTGCTGCCGCGGTGGCGTGTGTGTGCCGGTGGATCTCCACCAGCCGCCGGAGCTGCAAGAGAATCGTGTCCCCCACGACGTCGAGCGAGTTGGTCCGCAAGCGATTCCTGGAGTCGCGCAGTTGCTTCTTTTTCGACGCCAGGCGTTGTTCGAGAGACGATGCCGGTGTGCTCGTTGCCGGTGTGCTCGTTGCCGAATCGCTTGATGGGTGCTCCTTCTGTTGTTTCTCGAGGGCCTGGATTTGTAGCTCGAGCGATCGAATGGTCCGTGCATCCTTTTCCAGCAGGCTGGTTTCGAGGGCCTTCAGTTTTTGCTGCAGCGATGTGGTGGTCGTCTGTATTTCGATGATCCCGTGGTCGTTGGTGTTGTGCTTTGATGCGATTCMGCGAAAGGCTTCGTCCCTTGCCAACAACAGCTCTTCCAGCGCGGACGATCGAATCGCCGTTGCCTCGAGTTCGTCGTTTTCCGCAGCGAGCCTCGCGTTGACGGTCTCGAGCTTCTCGATTCGCAGGGCCTGCGACTTCAATTCACGAGAGTTATTTAGGACAGCCTTCGCATGCTCCTGCTGTTTTTGGTGTTGTTGGGCCTGTTGTTCCGCGTGCTGCAGTTGTTGTTGGAGGAGCTGCTGCCTCGATTCCTCCAGGAGTGAAAAGGCCACATCCCGCTCCCTGGCAATCGATTGTTTTTCTTCTTCCATCGTTGCCACCACTTTCTTGACGGTCTGGCCGAGGGCCTCCGCGTTGGTCCGGGATTCCGACAGCCGCGCCTTGAGTTGCTCCGCCTGCTGCTGCTGGGCCAGAAGCGTGGAAACGAGAACCTCCTTTTCTTCGTCGACGCCGGGTGCCGGCAATCCCGATTTCTCGTTTCGTTCCTGCTCTTGTTGTTTTTGTTTCTCTTCCAATCGCAAGCACTTGTCTTTCCAGTACTGGAGCAACTGCTTGTTCACTTTTGATTGTGATTTCGCTTCGCCATCGGAATCCAGCGATCCATCTTCACAAACACAATCGCCGTCGTCCTTTTGTTCTTCCTCGCTGACGCTCCTGGGGATCTTTGTTTCGGGTTGTTTCGTACTCGCACTCGAGCTTCTTTGTTTCATCGCCGCCAGCTGCGCCACCATGGCGCGTCTCTCGGTTTCGCCAAGGCGGAACTCTGCCACGACGATCTCGCGGACGGCCCGGATCGACGAGAGCACGGCGTCGTCTTCCGGGTGCTCGTGGGGGTCGTGGCGGTGGTGGTGTTTGCCACACGCCCCCGCCAGCGGTGGTAGCTCTTTCCGACACGCCCCGGACGAGACCATCATCCCGGTGCTGCCGCTGTTGGTACTGGTGGTGCGAGTCATGGCGAATGAAGAGAATGGAATCGAATCACATCAACCGAAAGCACTCTTCTCTCCGGCGATAGCTCAAATGCGTGTCGAAAAGTTTATCCTGTGAGAGGCGAGAAGGTTTGTGCCCTTTTGTTTCTCTTGCCCCTTCAACGAGACTGCTGATTAATAGTCCCGAGATGGTAGAAGTACGAGGAAGTAAGACACGAAGTACAGTACCAAGTATGGAGAAGTTAGAAGATCATGTGATTAGGACTTTTTGTTACTGTACAAAATTCAGAAATTTAGAAGCCTTCACGCCTTTTTTTAAAAAGAAATCGGATGCGTTCAAAATTTCGACACGAAGAAAACGACAACATGCATTTTTAGGAACGTTATTTTCCTACTTGCCGGCTCGGAAGGCAGCGCGGCGCAGCAGCATAGAGCGAGGGTTCTACCCCTGAACGTAAATCTACCGTACCGGCCGGTACCCTACCGTACATAGTCATCGGGGTACGAACGAAGCTGATATACTGGTTATGAGTATGAACTATGAACGGATTCATGATGGTACGAAGGTATGGATATATGTATACATATATGACATACCATCATATGTTGGTCTTCCACCTTCCACATCATCCACGATCATCCAAACGTGCACACAAGGTGAGCGAATGAAAAAAATATTGAAGAACTCATAGAACGTACGACGGATGGACTATCAAACAAGCGACACCCAGGTCACCGCTTTTTGCCAAAAATCTCACGGTATGTATCACATCATCAAGCACAACAAAAACACGGAAAAGAAGACTATTGGGAAGTATTAGTCTCTGCGAAACAACCAAAGGCCAACATCTATGGACCTTTTTCGAACCATGAACTCACCGAGCCGATTCTCCTAGAAAACAAGAGAAAGAGTCGATAGAATTATATAGTGCGCCGCACTGAAAGGAAACAGAAAGCTCACCGCAGCAGTAGCAGCTACTTAACAATAGAGTACAAACCACACGAAGAAGAGAACGAAGCATGTCATCGGTTCCGACACCGCGGGAAGAAACCGTCCTGGTCGACCAGAGCATTTCCGTGGCCGGACGCCCGCTTCCAGAACCCAAAACCAACGAAAAAAAGCAGAGCGATGCGGCCGACAACAAACACGGAGGGGCGGAAGGAAGAGCGAGCATCGTCCTGTTTTACCAATACAAGGAACCCGTGTGGACCGAACCCGAATTCCAAAAGGCCCTCAAGCTCTTCCTGGCGATCGGCCGGAGGTTCTCGATGACGGGCCGGGGTCGAATCGCACCCGAGGGCGTCAACTGCACCCTTACCGGTCCGTCCGCAGAGCGGGTACGGGGCTTTTGCCAGGCCCTCCGGGACGAGTGGGGGGTGGTGGACCGCAACGACAGCAGCAGCAGCAGCAGCAACAACAACAACAACAACAAC